GGAAGGGACCTTGGTTGGAAGGGACCTTGGTTGGAAGGGACCTTGGTTGGAAAGGACCTTGGTTGGAAAGGACCTTGGTGGGAAGGGACCTTGGTGGGAAGGGACCTTGGTTGGAAGGGACCTTGGTTGGGAGGGACCTTGGTTGGGAGGGACCTTGGTTGGGAGCCCAGCACCCCGTTCCCCGGGATCCCGGTACCTCGTGGCGATATTCCTTGCCATAGGTTTTCTTCCAGAGCTTCCAGTGCCAGTCCAGAGCAGGGTCAGGGTGTCCCAGTGCCACCACGGCCAGGAAGGTGACAGAAACCAGCAGCTTCATCCCGCTCCACTGGGATCAGCAGTGGGAGCAACACGGACACCGGGAGCCCAGGGCTGGGAGCTGGAGCCGCGCTTGACCCCTTGGTGACAAATCCAGTTGGGTAAGGGAGGCAGGAGGGTGATGACATCCCTGCCCAGGACACCCTGACGTGCCCTGGACGGGGTTTCCACACCAGGTGATGCCACCAGCTCCTGCCTGGACACGCAGCCCGTGGTGGCACCACCAGCCCCCACCTCCTGCTGCCCCCCTGGCGCGCTGGGAAGGGGAACAAATCCCAGCCAGGAGTGGGAAACGTCCCTCCAGGGTGGGGGGGGGAAAGTCTTTGAGCCCCAACCCCTGCCCATGAGGACACTGACAGGCAGGGACACATCCAGACAGGGTCCCACCTGCCCAGGTAACCCCCTCCAGAAGGTGGGTGACACGAGGCTGAGCAGCTGCTTGGAAACCCCTCTGTTTTCCAACCCCTTCAAAAGCAGAATCGTTCCTGTTTGGACCCCACCCGTGTCCCCCAGCCCCCGGGACGGGCTCCCCCCTGCAGCCCGGACCCCCCTGGGGGGGTCGGAGGAGGTTGGAGACAAAATGGAGACAGAGACAACCCCAAACACATCGCTCCTGCAGTTTTACTTCCCCCCAGCTCTGCCCTTCCCCAGGACAGGAGCCCCCGTCATACCTGGAGGAGGTTTTCGGTGGTGGGCACC